TCGTGGGTCACCACCGCTGCCCCTGCTCTCCTGATTCCCTCCTGCACAAAGCTGCTCCCATCTGTGTACCAATTTAGTTCACAGTTCAGCAACGGCGCGTCTTTTAAGTCTGCTCGCACCTGAACAATTCCGGAAAGAATATCTCTACAGTCCTGGATGGGTGTCGACAGATCTTTGTCTGGCAGAAGGGTGGCAGGATTTAGGGTCACCGGGTCAGAGAAGGCAATTCGTGGAGAATCTAGTAAGAGCCTTTGGTAATGGGTGAGTCTTGCATTTGTCATCCATTTTCCTGGAGGGTGCCTGAGGATCCCCTCTACAGTATGTGGGGCTGTTACCCTCAGGTTCTGGCCAAAGGTGAGCTTGTCTGCCTCTTTTACCAGTAGAGCAATAGCTGCTAGGATACGCAGACAAGGTGGCAATCTGGATGCCACTGGGTTAGTTGCTTGGACAAATAGGCCACAGGTCTTTTCCATGGGCCTAGCTGCTGAGCCAAGACTCCTTTAGCCACTCCTTTCTTTTCATCTACAAACAGGATGAAGGGTTTTTCTGGGTCTGGTAAAGATAGGGTGGGGGCCCGGAGGAGAGTTTCTTTTAGTCTGTCAAAAGCCTCTTGTTGTTCCTGAGTCCATTGCCAGCCTGGCCCTTCTTTGGTCGCCTTGTATAGTGGTCGGGCTATTTCTGTGTACCTTGGAATCCAGAGCCTGCAGAACTGGCTGAGCCAAGAAATTCTCTCACTCCCTGGGGTAAGGAAGGGATGGGGATAGTCAGAATAGTTCGTTTCATGGCCTGCGTTAGCCACCTGGCTCCGTTAGATATTTTGTATCCCAGGTAGATCACTGACCTTTGACAGATGTGGGCTTTCTAGGCACTGGCTCGATATCCCAGTTCGCCTAGTTCAGCCAGCAAGTTCCCTGTGGCTTCTTCGCACTCCTCATGGGTCTCGTTGGCCAGCAACAAGTCATCCACATACTGCAGCAGTGTCACACGGGGGTGGCTCCTGCGAAAGGGCTCCAGGTCCTGGCTTAGGGCTTCATTGAATAAGGTGGGAGAATTCTTGAAACCCTGTGGTAGCCTAGTCCAGGTAAGCTGTCCTTTTCTTCCTCCCCCTGGTTCTTGCCACTCAAAGGCAAACAAAGGCTGACTAACTTCAGAAAGGGGGATGCTGAAGAAGGCATCTTTCAGGTCCAGAGTAGTATACCACACATGAGAGGATGGCAGGTGGCTGAGCAGGGTCTAAGGGTTGGGCACTGTGGGGTGGATATCCTCGATCCTTTCATTAACCTTTCACAAGTCTTGCATGGGTCGGTATTCTCTGCCACCAGGCTTCCTTACTGGAAGCAGGGGCGTATTCCATGCAGATTGGCAGGATTTAAGGACTCCTGCTTCTAACAGTCGGTGGATATGGGGTGCTATCCCTTTCCTAGCCTCTTCTGGTATTGGATACTGCTGGAGTTTGATGGGCAGGGCCGCGGCTTTGAGCTGAACAACAACTGGGGGCAGATGTTTGGTGAGACCAATTCCTCCGGTTTTGGCCCATGCAAAAGGGAACTTCTGCAACCAAGAGTCCATTTCTCCCTGGCCCTCCTTTTCTTGATCTGCCTGAAACAGGTGATGCTCATCGGCTAGGGATAGGGTTAGCACATGCCACATGCACCCGTTGTAGGAGCTGCCCTTCTTTGTCCATGATCTTTATCCCTTTGGGTTCAAAATGGATGCGTGCCCCGACTTTGGTTAATAAGTCTCTGCCCAGAAACGGTGCGTGGCTCTCAGGTACGACCAGGAATGAGTGGGAGACCTGATGCCTTCCTAGGTCCACTTTTCTGTTAGTAGTCCAGGCACATTTCTTGGACTCTGTCGCTCCCTGGACTATACTTGTGTGTCCTGGGTTTAGGGGGCCGTGGACTTGGTTGAGAACTGAATACTGTGCCCCAGTATCTACCATGAACCCAAGGGGAGTCCCCTCCACGCACAGGGTTACCCAGGACTCGGGGAGGGGTGCCGAGCCCCATCCCCGTCAATTCTCCTCTCCTAAGTGGAGGGTCTCAATGGGGTTCCCTCCTCCTTGTTCCTTCCTTTTGGGGCACTCTCTCTTCTAGTGCCCATATCCCTTACACAGGGCGCACTGATCTTGCCCTAGCCGAGATGGGCGGGGTCCCTTTTTTTGAGGTGATCTAGGGCTCCCTTTTACCCCGGCTAAGAATATCCTAGCCATTTCTTCTCTCTGCTTCTTGTTCTCCCTCTTCTGAAACTCTCTGTCTTCTTTCCTATTTTTCTCCTGCACTTCCCATTTCTCTTTCTTCAGCCTCTCTTCCCTATCCTCTGGAGTCTCTCTAGCATTGAAGACTTTCTCTGCCTGCTGCAGCATTTCTCTAATAGAGATCTCTCCTAAGTCATCCCGCTTGTGGAGTTTCCTCCGGATATCGGGGGCTGCCTGGTTGATAAATGAGAGGACTACAGCTGATCTATGTTCCTCTGCCTCTGGGTTTATGGGGGTATATTGCCTGTAAGCATCAAAAAGCCTCTCTAGATACNTTGCCCGGGGGTATTCAAATAAATTACCTGGCCCTCTGTTGCCTCTTTTTGCCTGCTTATTGCGGCTAGAATTTATCTTACATTTGGTGCCAAAACCCTGGGAAGGAGTGTGAGTGCAGGGCCCTGACCAGCCACCGATGGCTCCGCCCCCTCCTTCCCCGACCCGGGACCTTAGCCTGCTCTCTGCTGCATGGACTATTTTCTGGTGCATCCCTCAGTTTCCCCCGGTCTGCTTCCCTTCCTAACTCCGTTTCACCTGGTCTGTCAGAATTGTATGTACGTCCAGGTCTGGCTATTCAGCCCATCCGTTGCGAGTATCCGGGATACTCGCCTCTGGCCCTGTGGTGTGGGAGATGTCCCTCACCCAGGCTCCCAGGCCATCTCCCCTGACTTGGTGTGCTTGGGATGCTGGGCGCTCCTCTCAGTGGGATTAGTTGGGAAGTGGCGCAGACATGGGGAACCAGCCCTCGAAAGCTGGCTCAGACCCTGTTGCAGTGTCTCATTTCTAATTTGGCTACTCTCTGTTTGTTCTGGTAAGTTTGCAAATGGAAGCTAGTCTTTCTTTGCTGAGGCCAGGCCTCAGTATCCTTTGGACAATCAATCTCACTGGCCCCCTGAGGGAACTTTCAATTTTAGCCTCCTTACCACCTTGATTAATTATTGCCACTGGAGCAGAGAGTAGGGTGAAATCCCATATGTGCAGGCTTTTTGGACTTTGCACCCCCCGCCCAAACCTTTATGTAAACATTAAATAACTCAGGTTCTCCTGGCCTGATCTCCAGTTAAATATTGTCAGCCTCTTACTGTGCCCAGTCCTTCCTTTTCAGATCCACCAGAAAACCTCAGTCCCCTGCCTCCCTCAGCTCAGAATCCCCTCCCCCTCTCTCTACCACCATCTTTAAGTCCTTTCTCTTCACACGTGTCGCCTCCATCTTAAAGTCCTACATTCTCAACCATGCTGTTGTCCTGCTCTCCTCTTCCAGTGGCTGCACCACCCGCTCCCCATCTCCTTCCACCTTCACCGCCCTCTTCCCCCACCAGAACACGCTCCTCCCGCCCTCTAGTTCCAGAAGCCACAGACAAGAAGCTGAAGAAAAACAAATCAATTAGGTATCAGTAACTCAAGTCTTTATATCAGTTTGTCTATCTGTGTATATGTTTTTATGTAAAAAGTGTTGCTGACTATAGTCGTCGTGTCTGTTTGTATGTTTGTGTGTCTAGGTGTGTAAATGAAAAATATTTTCCTACCTCCAGATAGTATCAATAAAAATTGATTTAAAAACAAGCGCTTGTGAAAATTAGGCATTTTAAAACTTCCAGAAAATCTAATAAAAATTGTTAAGCATTAATGCTAATTTGAATTTGAATATTAAAAAAATTGTAATGATTTCTCTAATTGTTTTATGAAAGCAGTTTCTCAAGCTTAAAGTCTCAATGAATTGTCAGAATATTTAAGAAAATGAGATCTTAATATTAAAAGGACTAAAAGCTAAACTTTGCTAACTACTGTGCAACCTTCTTTATTTGCCTTTGAGGTATTTTGTTGTCATTCTGGTTAAATAGATAAGTATTTCTTCATGGCAACCTATAATCCTATTTAAGCAAGTGCCAAAAAACAAAAACCATCAAATTCAAAAAGGTACTTTTACCTCTAGTTCACTCTGATATTTTCCACAGGGCCCCTGGAACATGTCAGAAGAATTTTTTCTCTTCAGTGAAGAAAATATTTGGCTAATTTGGCTTATTTACCTGATATATAATTACCTACTTAATTACCTAGAAGGCACTATCAAAGGGAATAATGCTAAACTTTGTTACTGAATATTTTGTGTTACAGCAATATCCAAATTCCCTTATGTCAACTGTCTTACAGTAAGCTCTCATCAGATCTTTAACCATTGTCATTTGTAAGTCTTTTGTCATCTATATTCACTGTTTTATTATTCCTAAACTAGTAAAAAACTAGATTTCAGCAGAACAGGTATTAGTTACATAAGATTAAGTAAACTAAGGAAGATGATTTGGTGGCTTTTTGTTTCAAATGTTGTTGATAAAGTGTTTTAAGCTTTTTCTCTTAAGCTGACAACAGTTTAGTAAATGACTGCCTTTATAAGCAGAATTAAAACTTTATCTTTCTCTCTACCTGATCCCTCCAGAATTTAAAAACTCCTAGTAACTATTTTTATATTTCATGGCAGTATGTTTATTTGCACAAGTTCAATAAGAATCTGCTTTCCTTGTAAGAAGACCAATGAAAAACACTGGTTATATTACCAAGGCTTTGACTGGAACATCATACCAAGAGACACATGCATAAACTCGGATATGAACAGCTTTAAGGAACTAAAGTTAACTATATAAAGCCAACAAAGCCCCTTGGAAGAACTGGCCTGATACCTTGCTTACAGGGTTCCCAGCAGCCTTACCAGGTGAGTGAGGAAGGTCACTTCCTGGCAGGTGCAGGAACCTCAGGATGTCTTGGAAACCTCGAGAAGAGAGGAATTCACCCAAATCTACAGGTACTGCAGGCAAAACCTGATGGCAAGTCTGGCTTGGCTTTCTGGCCTCGAGAGGCCTTTAAAAGTTCAATCTGAAATTCCTTACAAAAAGTTCCAGCAAAGCACATTTAAAAGAGCCTATGTAATCAATTGCTCTTCTTGCTGCACTTATGCAAATAATAAAGCCAAGTGTTAATTATTTTCTTAATCTAGCTACTTCTAATAAAAATAAGGGTGCTTTTAGAGAAAAGTATTGTTTCAATAATGCAGTCTTATCTATACTAAATCCTAATACTAGTCATTGAAATGTAAACTCGATCCAGAATTCCAGTTCCCCATAATGGCCTGGCTAATGCCCCTACTGGGCCTCTTAATAACAGTTTGTGGTTTACTCTTAGTTGCCTCTTGTGTTTTCAGGTTTCTCCATAACCTAGATGACCCGGGTCACCACCAACCAGATGTTACTTCACCGTTATGCACCTCAGGATGTCTTGGAAACCTCGAGAAGAGAGGAATTCACCCAAATCTGCAGGTACTGCAGGCAAAACCTGATGGCAAGTCTGGCTTGGCTTTCTGGCCTTGAGAGGCCTTTAAAAGTTCAATTTGAAATTCCTTACAAAAAGTTCCAGCAAAGCACATTAAAAGAGCCTATGTAATCAATTGCTCTTCTTGCTGTGCTTATGCAAATAATAGAGCCAAGTATTAATTATTTTCTTAATCTGGCTTCCTCTAGTAAAAATAAAGGTGATTTCAGAGAAAAGTATTGTTTCAATAATGCAGTTTTATCTATACTAAATCCTAATACTAGTCATTGAGATGTAAACTCGATCCAGAATTCCAGTTCCCCATAATGGCATGGCTAATGCCCCTACTGGGCCTCTTAATAACAGTTTGTGGTTTACTCTTAGTTGCCCGTGTGTCCTTAGATTTCTCCAACAGCAGCTAACCTAGATGACCCGGGTCGCCACCAACCAGATGTTACTTCACCGTTATGCACCTCTTCCCACTAAACCCCCTTCCTTTAGCCTAATACCAGCCTCAAACCCCCACAATGCCCCTTGTCAGCTGGAAGTAGCCAGATCGAGTCGTCGCCCATAATGACCAAAGGGCTGGAATGTTAGGCTGGAGGAAGGAGAAACAAGGACATGCAAGCAGAACAGAGAGATGCCATAGGGGGAGAACAGACCAGACCCCAAGGTCCATGCCTTATATGGAAAGGGGACAGCTCTTCCTGAATTCCATCCTTCTGATGTGCCAACTAAGACCCAGATGTTAGCCTCCTCCCTCTTGGAAGGAAAAAAAGTTTCTAGTTGTCTATTATGTCACCTTTAGCCAATCATACCTCTCCACACCCCCTTGGATAGCTTGCCCACCCCTCCCCCTCCTAATCCCTTATAAGCCCCCACCTCCCTGACTGGGTGTGAGTTATCTGGCCTGTAATACCCAGGCCCTGGAACATCACCTGGGGGTGCATTCAAATAAACTATCTGGTCCTTTGTTGCCTCTCTTTGCCTGCTTATTTCAGCTAAAATTTATCTTACAGGTACCACATCCTTTCTAGTGAGAAGGTCAGAATTAAAAAGAAGGTAATGATGACTGATAGAATCCAGACCTGAGTACCGCCTTTTGAGTAAGCTCACCCACCATCACAGAGAGACCTAGGTGTCATCTTACCTAGGCTACAAGCATTCTCCAGAGGACAGTCAGCAAGCCACAAGCCCACCTTTCCCCTGACCCCTCCCTCAAAGAGCCTGCCAAAAATCCTGGCCATAAAAAGCTGCTTAACCTGTTAGAGACCCCTTTTCCTTTGTTCTGCGGGCCAGGACAGAGGGGTCCCTCTCAGGTTCAGCAATAAACCTGCTTGGACTGTTGAGTTCACATGCCCTCTTTTTCTTTGATCTATTCCCTCTTTCCCTTTCAATGCCTGTGCAAAACAACAAAATGTTGCTTAAGCTACCAATGCAGAAATCACACTTAAGTCAGGAAACAAACAAATGAAAAAACCCCACAAAATCAAACTTGAGCAATATATCCATAATTTTAAGAAATGAAACATTCCAGAAGGGCTTTTCTGGGGCGTAGACACAGCATTGCAATTTCTGAATAGTTAGACTTTCTGAATGATCTGACAGAATAAAATGCACTAAATCAATAATTAAAGATATAATAACACATGCTTCCAGAACCAATATGAGACTAGATTTGAAATAGAGAAAAGTTATATGGTAAAATAAGATACTTGGAACATTTGAGGAGACACTTGCTATTTATAACACAGTTGTCACGCTCAAACGTCCTTTCATTTTGCTCTTCACAACTATATGAGGAAGAGATAGTACTATCTTCCCATTTCACTGATAGGAATTAACCTCTAAGAGGCTAAGTGATTTGCCCAAGGGATATAACTAGTCAGTAATGAACCCAAGTTCAAGTCCAGGTCTTGCTTTCCAAAGGGGGAGTGTCTTATACACATTTTAAACAATAAGGATAATACATTTGCAATTATATACAAAAAGAGACAATCACTTTTAAAAGAATGTAAATTGGAATATTGCCTTGTAACTCCAGGGGAAAAGCCCAGGGCAAAATACCTTTGAAACCAAAATCAGTCAAAGGGAGAAATAAACTGGGAGAAACTCATTTATTGCTTATAGGCAGTCATCCATGTCTGCTCTCCAGTGTCTCTTGCTGTAACCCTGGGGCAGGAGAAGGGGCTCCACCCAACCTCTCCAGTCAGGATATGTTCTCACTCTCCCTCTTAATTACCTATTGATATGGATATGAGCTACTTCTCTCCACCCCTTAGAAATACCTATTGATAGGGATGCACTAAGGCCAGGTGAGAGGTTCTGGAAATGCTGCAGTTTTACCCACATGCCTTTTCTAGTAACATATAAAGAGCCTGGTGAATCACCAAGGATCTAAGAGAGACAGAGAGAGAGAGAGAATATGCCCATTCATTCTTGACCTTGCCAAACTGCCCTTCATGTGGGATGTAACAAAGACCCATAAGCTCTTCGAGGTCCTAGAAATGATCCAGCCAGTCACTCACCTTATTCCAAATGACTCTGAGGACTATTTCTAACAGAAGTCTATATTAAACACAGAAACCTAAGTCAATGTGTTGACCTGAGTTATATATTACAGAAATACATAAATGAGAACAATATGAGGAAGTAGTTTTTTGAGAAGAATAAAAGTATGTTGACAAGAATAAAAGTATTTTTGTTGATGGAGTACAAGTATGTGCCCTCATGATGCTGGGTTTTTGTTTGTAGAGTCAAAGAATGAACTTAGCAAACACTCAAGGTAGGAGAGCCAGGGAGAGGCTTTTATTTAGAGATACAGTGAAAGAACAGAGCTCCGGGCTCATGCCAGGAGGGGACAAGAAAGCCCGGGATGGTGCATTGTCTAGGGGATTTATAGGCAGTTGAGGATTTTTGGGAAATGATTAAGTGCATAGGGGTGTGGACTTGTTAAAAGTGGTCTTAGGATGTTTGTCCTTAATGAGACATTAAATCCCTTTTAGCATGCTAAAGTGAATCTTACACAATTACAAACAATAAGCATAATAAAAACATGGGCTACTTTCCTTTATCTGGTGAATATCAACTGATCCAACTGAAGAATGACTCTAGAGTTTAATGTTTAACACTGAGTTTTGGTAGGGGGTTTCCTTGCATGTAGTTACACTGCTCTGACTGTAATTATCCTACCTTGCTTTTTCCAGAGGCCCTCACCCTGCTCTGTCTAAGCCCATGGTCCCTGTTTCACTTTTCTAAGGGTTATTTGGCCAAATGTGACAAAAACCATCCCCTAGACTCAACACTACCACTCAGGGAACTTATCCTAAAGCAATAATTTGAAAAAGTTATAGATGCTTATACTGGTATTATTTAAAGTTGTTAAAACTTGAAATAAAATCCAATAATTGAGTTTTTATCCAAAATTAATATTATATAGATATTAAAAATAATGAAAATGAAATGTTTGTATAAAATTAGCCATGGAAATAGAACAGAATGTTTTATACATTACCATGTTTATCTTGTCAGGCAGCTACGTCTGTGGAGATCTCCCTGCACATTGCATCTGATCAAGAAAGAATTCTTGAAGAGATCTGACAAGTGTAGGTGAGAGAAGGACTGTGGGTGTAGTCAGAGTAGGGAGAGGCAGATAATTTCAGAGTTGAGAATAATCAAGGCTGGAAAGACTCAGAAAGAAACGCTGACTTCCCACCCCCCAACTGCATAAACAGAATTAGGATAGAAGAAGAAAGGTATCACATAAGATAGCTATATTATAATGTAAACTAGATAGACCACGAGGAACATGGCCAAGTCTGTTAAAATTCCCCTCTGTGCACCTCATTGTTTCTGTGTGGTCCAGCAAACATTTGTTTACCACACATTTACTCTTTCATATTCTTGAGTTGCTTCCCTTTTCCTTTGAAGTCTCAGACCCCCTGCCACCTTCTCCTTGGTTCAGGATGACATTTATACCTCATTCTCCCTGTCTTCGGAACCCTTGTCTAGAACTTCACCAGATGCCCACCTCAAGGAAACTGCTGGAATTTTCTTCAAAACAAAAAAATCTCCTCCCTATCTTTCCTTCCATGACACAATAGATTCCTCCTACTAAAGAAAAAAAGAAGTAATTCACAGGAATATGAAAAAAGTAAATGTTTGGTAAACAAAATACTTGATAGGGCACAAAGAAGAATTTTTTAAATTTTGCTATTATTAATCTACAATTACATGAGGAACATTATGTTTGCTAGACTCCCCCCTTCACCAAGTCCCCCCAACATACCCTATTAGTCACTGTCCATCAGTGAAGTAATAAGCTGTAAAATCACTACTTGTCTTCTCTGTGTTGCACAGCCCTCCCCATGCCCCCCCCAGCATTATACATGTTAATCGTAAGGCCCCCTTTCTTCTACCCCCACTTCTCCCCAAAGAATTTCAGGTAGGTAATTGACAAAAGGGAATTTCAGATGTGAGGTCCTTGAAAACAGGTGAGGTGTCCTGTCCACCCTTGTGTCTTCAGTAAGCAACATACAATTTATTCATAATAATGTTAGGCAGGAAAATAGATATGAGTGGGGTGGAAACAGAATAAGGCCAGTGTGGGTAAAATTGTAATTTATCCGAAATATCTTGCCTGGCTTTAGTACATTTGCATATCAACAGGAGCTCAAGGGTGAAGAGAAGAATGGCTTTAGTGGATTTGCATTATTCCTCAGGGGTGGAGAGAAGTTCATCTCCTTATCAGTGGGTAATTACTGGGCAACTGGAGGGCTTATCTGTACCTGAGAGGTGAGGAAGAGGTCGGGTTTTGCTGCTGCTGGAGCAGGAGAGAGAGATGGGCTGGACTGCAATTTGTAAGCAATAAACGGGTTTTAAACTTTATTTCTCCCTTTGACTGATTTCGGTTTTTAGAGGTATTTTGCTCCGGGATTTCCTTTCCCCAGACTTACATCTGGCGCAGTCAGTAGGATTCCTTTGAACCCCAAATCTGTCATAATGTGTGAGACCTTTGGGAGGGCCAACTCTAGAAATGATGGGAAGCAGTGGTGCGTGTGCTGAGGGATGTGTGTCTACACTCCTGTGGTCATGGAGGCGCCACCACCACTGCTGGCCATGCAGACCCTGGCCCATGGCCCAAGCCTAAGGCCACAGCTTCTGCCACTGCTGCTGCTTCTGCTGCTGGCTGGAGTCTGGTCACAACTATGGAAAGAAGCAGAGGTCCAGTACATCCTGATAGAGAAGCAACTGACTGCTGTGTACCATGCCTTGTTGGCTATGGAGCCCATCACCAGAACAGCTCTAACCTAGGTAATAACCACCTATCCCATTGCAGGGTGGGTGGGAGACTGGACCCAAAGGCCATGGAGTGGTGTGGCACAGACACCTACGTATATCATGTGACTGGTCATTTGCCTTTGGCATCCCCAGGGAATGTTGAAGCAGACACATTGGCCCAGGTATGCTGGCTAGTAAGAAAACCTGCCTCTGATGTGGCCCAATGGATACATCAGCATTTGTTGCATGCGGGGCAAAAGACAATGTGAACCCATTGGTGGGGCTTGCCATTGACCTTTGAAGAAGTCAGCAGAGCCCGGAAGGAGTGCCTTGTGTGCTCTAAGAGGGACTTGCACCAAGTTCCACAGCAACATAGGACAATAGTAAGAGAGCCAATACCCCTTGTCAGGTGGCAAATAGACTATATTGGGCCTATGCCCGTATCAGAAGGATATCAGTATGCCATGACTTGTGTGGGCATGGCTACTGGACTATTGGTTGCTTTTCCTGCATGTTGTGTAGATCAGCAAACCACTAAGAGGGGCCTGGAGCATCTCTTTATAGACTATGGCTGGCCACAGGTGATTGAGAGTGATCACTTTACTGAACATATGTTACAAGAATGGGTGCAGCAATTAGGACTAAAGTGGAAATTTCATGTATCATATAATCCTACCAGTGCAGGCATGATAGGGAGGTACAACGGTTTGTTGAAATCTGGCCTGAAGTTGGACACCAGTAGTCTGTGGGGTTGGTCAGTTCGCCTATGGACAGTGTTGCAGCATTTGAATGAGAAGCCTCGTAAAGGAGCTTTGAGCTCTGTGGATATGCTCACACACCTTACTGCCTC